CCAGGGCTTCCTTCTGATTTTCGTAGTTAATATCTTTTCCTTTTCCTGGTTCACTTTGTTGTAAGGACACAGTATATGACACAGACACAGACACGCACCATCGCCGGCTCCTGCTGTCAGCGGGGCTTCCAGTCGGGGGTAGCCGGTTGGCAGTGACGGGTCGGGGGCATCAAAGGTTATGCGCAGACTTTCAGCGGCACCAGGGGTGGGCGCCCCTCAGCCCGCGCCTCGCCGGGCTCAGCGTGATGAAGCCTAAAGGCAGCCCCTCCGTCATCCTGGTCACGTTTCAGGGCTCAGCAGGCCCTGCCAGCGGCCATGGCGGCAGGTGCTTCAGAGCTCGGTACTGAGTCAGCCCCGGAGACCCCTGCTCAGCCCTGGGCCCCGCCAACCTTGCGATCAGCTGGAGACCCCAGGCCAGGGGGGCCCCAGGCCCCGCCCCCTCCTCTGCTCATCTTCCTGGGGGCCCCACACGTCCGAGTCTCCAAGCCTGAGGCCTCTGTGCTCCCCTGCGCCTCGGTGCCCGTGCCCACGGCCGGAGCTGCAGCCTCGCTCAGGCGGGGCCCCACCTGTGGCCGTCATGGGTGGCCCGTCATGGGTGGCCCGTCATGGGTGGGCCGTCATGGGTGGCCCATCATGGGTGGCCCGTCATGGGTGGCCTGTCATGGGTGGGCCCGTCATGGGTGGGCCCGTCATGGGTGGCCCGTCATGGGTGGGCCGTCATGGGTGGCCCCTCATGGGTGGCCCGTCATGGGTGGGCCGTCATGGGTGGGCCCATCATGGGTGGGCCCGTCATGGGTGGCCTGTCATGGGTGGGCCCGTCATGGGTGGGCCCATCATGGGTGGCCTGTCATGGGTGGGCCGTCATGGGTGGGCCCGTCATGGGTGGCCTGTCATGGGTGGCCTGTCATGGGTGGGCTGTCACGGGTGGGCCCGTCATGGGTGGGCCCATCATGGGTGGCCTGTCATGGGTGGGCCGTCATGGGTGGGCCCGTCATGGGTGGCCTGTCATGGGTGGGCCCGTCATGGGTGGCCTGTCATGGGTGGGCCCGTCATGGGTGGGCCCGTCACGGGTGGCCCGTCATGGGCGGGGCCCTGGACTAATTGTGCCTGATTTTAGGTGCTGAGAGCCACCCAGCTGGTCCTAATACCTTGGAAATGAGCCAAATGCAGCCAAATCCTGAGGGAGAAATGAACCCAACGCCCTGGAGGGCATGGCCCACGTGGCGCGTGGAGATGCAATGAGCATCGTCAGTGCGAACAGACGTCGAGGCCCAGCTGGCCTGCCCCTTGGGCGGGCGGGCCCCTCTCTGCGCGGCCTTTGCCCGGAGACCCCCTGCCTGGCCGGTCGCTCCCCAGCAGCAAATTCAATTGGGAATTATCTCGAGCGAATGAGGCCGCCTTCCTGCTGGCGGCAACCTGCCCACGGGCTGTGAACTCGAGGGCAGGACTCGCAGGACAAAGAGAGGAAAGCCGGTCACTTCCGACGGTCGCGGCCTAATTCCAGCCCTTTCCCTGTCCCAACGCCGAGACCGCGGCCGGAGCCCTTTCGAGAAAAGAAAAATAGAGCCTGTCATTTCCTCTTGTTTCAAAGATGAAGGCGGCCGGGGAGGCCGGGAGAGGAGGGGCCGTTCCAGGTCAGTGACTCAGCGGCCTGACCCGGAAAACGCGGGAAGGGCGGGGCGGCCTGGGACCCTGACGCCTCCCAGCGCAGGGAGAGGAACGCGGGCGACAATGAACCGCAGGAGGACGTGTTGCTAATCGGAGAAGAACTTGCCAACCGGGAGGTGCCCTGGGCTCTGAGCTCCTGGACTTCCTTCCTGAGGCCCAGCCCCTGATGGGAAGGTGCCGGGACACTGAGGGGGGAGGGGGGGCCGCGGGGGATTCTGCTACACGCGTGGGGCCTGCATCACTCGCTCATGGCGTGGCCACTTCTCCCCCTGCAGATGCTTAGAAGGAACCCCAGCAGCTCTGGGGAAAGGTCCTGTGCTGTGTCTTAAGGCGGACAGACAAATTCTTGAAGTCAGATTGTTAGAAAGTGCAAATTAGCCCGGCGGGCGGCGTGGCTCCGTGGTTGAGCATCGACCTATGAACCAGGAGGTCACAGTTCGATTCCCGGTCAGGGCACAGGCCCGGGTTGCAGGCTCGATCCCCAGTGGGGGGCGTGCAGGAGGCAGCCGATCGGTGATTCTCTCTCCTCATTGCTGTTTCTATCCCTCTCTCTCTTCCTCTCTCTGAATCCATAAAATATATTTAAAATGTCACCTCTCTCCTTGGCAAAGACACCTTGAGAATGACCTTGAAG